CCATATTGGGGGGAGTCGTTGAATACCTCGGCCTCTTTTCATATGCCCAAGGCATGTGCCCTCTTCAGAGTTGCATACTTCGGATATGGGCTGTTCACTCCAAAACAAGTCTGAGCTCGCGTTGCATTTGACACCACATGTTTACACATTCACATGTTTCCTCCTTCCCCCTTTTGGGATTGTTTTCTTTTGGAAGAAAACTTGTTTGGGCCGTGGAAGTACAATCTTATTACAATTTTGAGCGCGCTACGGTCAAGTATAGGCTGCAAGTGGCAGCAGGGCATCATGAACGTTTGAGGAAAATCCTGCGTGCAAAGAAAGTTCTGTGCGCCAAGACCAGGCACAGAATTTGGAGGGTAATGATCCAAACTGCGCAGCTTTACGCCCTCGAGGCAACAGAGGTGACCAAGGAGGGAATGCGGCTCATTCATGTGCAGACGCGAAGGCATCTTAGGGGTATATATGGTTCAGCCAGGCGCGTTGATGGGCTGTCGGATGAAGCCTTTCTGGAAAAATTTGGCATCCCCAATCCACAGCAGTCCGTCAAGGACAGATGCGTGGTTCTTTTGCACAGGCTCAGCAGTACCGCCCAGGAACATCAAGTCCCATGCTTTGATGCCACTAATCTGGGCAAATGGGCGCAGCAAGTTCTTGACTCCTTACCACATGCCCATGTTGCCAGATCAAGGCCACAATACCCATCTGCGTCGACCAATACAAGCCTGGAACCCAGTCCAGATAAGCAGGTCCACGATTTTAAGTGCAGTGTTTGCGAGCTCAGCTTTGCTACGCTTCATGAGCTCACAAACACATGAGGGCAGAGCTCATGGCATCAAGCAGGAGCGAATACAGGTCAACAAGCATGAACATGGCATGCAAGGCAAGCCGATATGTCGACACTGTGGTCAGACATTTGGAGAGTGGAAGTCCCTCTCACGGCATATTGCGAGGAAGGGATGCCCTGCCCTACAGCTCGGTCAAGTTGATGCGGCTCTGAAGGCATCAGGACAAGCGGAAGTTCTGCCACCGGTCAACCGGTAGGAGGCCCGAGCTGCTGAGAAAATTGCAACAAGAAGGATGGCAAGCCCTCTCCACTGATCCACCATTATGTGAAGAGCTCAAGCAGCGCTGTTGCCTATGTTTTCAACGGGTCTCTGCAACTAATGGCCTAAAGGCACACGTACATAAAGCGCATACAGCAATCATGCAAGCATGTGAAGCTCCTGTCCAGACACAACAACGACTTTATAGGGCCTCTGCACGCTCACCTTGTGCCATTTGTGGGACGAGAACGGCGGATCCTCGTCAACATGCAGGCAGTTGCAATGTGCTCTTTCAGCTGTTACTCCTTGCGCAACATGTGACAGGCGGCTGCGCAAGCAGAAAGCGCACTGCAGCAGCAGCTAGAGATCTTTGGGGGCCTTCTGCCGAACTACTCGTCACAGAACCCCATCAAGGAGCTGACAGAGGAGATGGAGGTAGATGCGGAGCTAAAGAAGAGGAAGCTGACGGAGCAACTCGCAATGGCCGTAGCCACTCCATCCCGGGCCAAAGGCAACAAGCCAGGAGGCAAATCCAAGGGCAAGGGGAAAGGCAGAAAGGGGCAGTCGCAGCAGGAAGATCGCCAGGAGATCTGATCAACTGACCAGGAACACAGGCTACGTTCTGACAATGAGGAACGACGAGAAGCCAGAGTGCATGCTGCCCATCCTGCTCAAGGCTTCCGCTCAGTGGAAAAAGACCTGGGAGGAGGATGCGGTGGGCCTCGACAAGCCGCTCCGGACGATGCCGCTAACGCTGCTGCTAACGGAACTCGGCTCAAGAGCCAGAACAGCAATGAATCAGCCAGACACGATCAACAAGATGACAGAGATAGGCTGGATGCATCAGGGAGAATGGATCTACCAATGCTGGGATCATCAAAAAGAAGAACTGGTGAAAGACGAGGAGCGCAAGCCTGTGTCACACGCTACTTTTGTGCCGCAGGTGCAAAAAGCACTCCTGCTCGTGGTGATCCCGGAGAACCTTCGCCGATTCCAAGCAGCACGCAGATTGACAGCAGAAATGAAAGGACCGCCGGTAACTTTCCTGTTGGACGTGGGGCTGAGAACACAGGCCGACGAGTTGCGCTCCATTCTCCAAGGATAGGAAGGCCTAGCAGCATGGAACCTCGTGCCATCGAGATTCCGCCAGCAACCTTTCAAGAGAGGGCCGGCAGTGGACAAATTGTCCAAATGACTGGCGGAGCACTAAGGCTGGTAAACCCAAACAACCAATGCTACATCAATGCCATCATTGTTGCTTGTGTACAGTGGATGCTGACAGGTCACAGCTGGGCCGGGCAGAGTGTTTTCAAGCGTGCGCTGCAACAGCTCATAGGCCTGCCATTGAATGTGCGCCATCATGTGCTTAGCCTGTTACCTTTCCGACCTTGTTTTAGCAACTGGCGCAGGCCACATGTGCAACATGATGCGTCTGAGTCTCTTCTGCAAGTGCTCAATGGCAGGGGTGATGCGCACAACTTGTGCAAATGGCAGTCGTACACCCAGCGTAACGGCATACATGACCCCGAAGACTCTGGATCCATGCTCATACCGTTATCCATCCCGTCCACTGAGGATGGGACAACATTACAGGAGTGTGTGCAGGCTTGGCACGTGCAACCATCAGTGAGGGACCGTCAAAGAGACAGCTTACACTGCATCCATTCCGCAGAAACGCACGTGGCTTTCGTTCTCAAGAGGTTCAGGCAGGACACACGGGGAATCACAAAGAACGAAATTGCAATGCAGGTTCCACCAACGTGCGCGCTGCCTGTATACAGGCCGGACGGACCAGCGTGGCTTGATTTTCATGTGGATGCCATAGTTGTCCATCTGGGTCCAACTCCTCACTCAGGACACTGCCGATGCTTCTATCGGACCTTGACTGGGGACACGGGGTGCACTGATGATGGGGTGAAAGCAAAGCGCCCAAGCAGGGCTGATATCCACAGCACATCCAGAGGGAGCTACATCATCATGCTCTCGCGTGATGCTAGCCGAAGCTGAGGTGGTACCTCGCATGCTGAGGTTTATCCTCGCAATTTTTGACCTTCGTTTCACGCTTTTGTCAGAAGCACGCAGGGCACTCGTGCCGGTGCTTGTAGTAGCTGCGCCACGCTGGTGACACGTCACGGTGGTAGGAGTGTCTTGTGCAGCTGTAGTAGCTGAGGTATACCTCGCTTCATCAGGCGGGCTTGAATAGCTTGCTCCTAGGTGCCAAAGTGCGCATGGTGGACCAGAAGGCTACCTGCGTTTTCAAAGTCAAAAAAGGCACATCCTCACTGGCCCGGACAATTCCCATACCTGCCTCCCTGCGAAAGAAGGGGGCGCCGTGCCCCCGACCATTGCGGTCACACAAAGAGCCGGATGGCGTCCGAGGTATCCGAGGTACCTCTCTCTTGAGAGTTCGTCAAGCAAATCGCTTGTGCAGGCTGACTGTGAAGATCATGCTCATTTGCTTGGAGCGCAACATCCCGTGTGTGGTAGAGAACCCGGCTCGGTCCCTTATGTGGGAGACGTCATTTTTCCGCGCCCTGCCATCCTCACTTCACAGGTGCCTATCCCATTCCTGCGTGTTTGGGTATCGCAAAAAGAAAGCCACTGTGCTACTCTCCTCCATCCCATTGCTGAGGTTGATGAGGGTCTGTGATGGCAAGCGCACGCGTGAGCCATGGACCATCCGCCAGGTCCAGAGGCGTTGGCACTTCTCTACAGCAGACGCTGCGGAGTATGAGAGCGGCTTTTGTGTTGCTTTGGCGTCTGACCTCATGAATTTTTGCCTGGCCCAGGGTTGTTGCGTCCTCGCGGCGTGTCAGCACGCTTGATGCCCAACCCATAGCCACGGGTAAGCAGCCGAGGCGCACTCAAATGCAGGTCAGTCCGTCTGAGTATGGTGCCATAGTGTCTGTCCAGGTCCCGAAAGGTTTTCAGGTGCCGCAGACCATTTCCGAGGCAAGGACTTCCACTCGGGGTCCAAACTTCTTGAGGTGCGTGAGGTTCTTGAAGGGGGAGGTGTGTCAGCGCAAAACTTGTGGGCAGATTTCCGGGTTTATAGACCGCCTGATGTGTTTGCAAGAGAAGCTCTCAAAGCCAGACATCCCTTTGACCAGCCTTTCTTGAAGGATGATGCAAATCTGGAGGCCATCCAGAGCATCCTACAAAGGGGCCCAGACGAGATAGCCAGGCATCGAGAAAATGTGTTGGCCCACTACAGGAGGAGGAGGCAAGAGCTTGCGCCAGAATAAGCTAGGCTGAAAGAGTCTATGGACGAGGATGTGCGTCGAGTCATGGAGGACAAAAACCTCCTGCTCTTCAGAGAGGTCATGGCCGATGCCGGTGTCGTGGATCAAGATCTCTTCTCGGACATGTGCCAGGGCTTCCGCCTCACAGGGGAGCTTAAAGCGTTGCGGCGATTCCCGGATTCTTTCAGGCTCGAACAGCTTAAAAGCACAGCCAAGTGGGCAAAGTACTTGGTGCAAGCCTCATGCAAAAAGGCATCGCGTGACCCCCAGGTTGCTGCAGTGGTCTGGCAAGAGACTGCTGAGCAGGTGTCCGAGGGGTGGCTAAAGGGCCCGCTATCTTGGCAGGAGGTTGAAGAGAAGTATAAAGGGGTCCCCCAAAATGACAAGGTGCGGGCCGTGGATGATAATTATCAGTGAAATTTTGATCAACAGCACCGTCACTCAGACCGAGAAGATTGAGCTCGAGGGGCTGGATCATGTCGTGGCACTGTCGCGGTTTTTCATTGGGGCATCTCTTCCAGGTGCAGGCTCTTGCCAACTGCCGTCAGGCACCGGTCAGGGACGGGTTTTCCCTTTGCATCCTGCCTGGAGCGAAGGTGGAGCTAGGAAACTCCGAGGCCGGGCGTTGGACCTGAAAGCTGCTTACAAGCAGCTGGCGGGATCCGGAGGATGCATGGGCATCCATTCTGGGAGTCCTTGATCCCTCTTCGGGGAGGTGCGGTTCTTCGAGGCAGTGGCCTTGCCCTTCGGGGCCATAAGTGCAGTTACGGGGTTCAACAGGGCAGCCCGGGCCCTTCGCATCTGTCTTTCGCGCCTCCTGCTGCTGGTGGTCTCGAACTTTTTCGATGACTACTGTCAACTTGAGCTAGAGGGATTGAAGGTGTCAGCCCGGAACACAGCGGAGGAGTTCATCGACCTTTTGGGGTGGAAGATCTCGCAAAGTGGAAAGGCTCTTCCGTCGTTTGCTTCTGAGTTCGTCATGCTCGGGGCACAGATTTCCTTCGAGGAGGCTGATCAAGGTTTCGTTCTTGTGCACAACAAGCCTGGTCGCGTGGAAAGCATCAGGCAAATGGCCAAGCCCTTTCTGGAAGGTGGCCCTCCGGATGCCAGGATTCTGCAATCCCTCAAGGGTAAGTTGCTTTTTGCTTCGAGCCACACATTTGGCAGATGTGCGCAAGTGGCCACACAATCAATTTGCCATGATTGTGCTGGCGACCAGGTGGATTCTACCAGGCAAGCCGTTGCCTTTGCTTTGTCCCTGCTCGGGGATGCCAAGCCACGCAGGGTAGGGCCTTGGTCTTACTTACCCCCTGTTGTCATCTTTACCGATGGCGCTTGCGAGCAGGATGGCGAGGTGGTTTCTTTGGGCGCTGTCCTGATAGACCCTTTGTCCGGACGCCAGGAAGTCCTGGGTGCTGAGGTGCTGGCAGTGGTGGTTCAGGCATGGCGAGCGGGAGGAAAGCGTCAGGTGATCTTCTTCGCAGAAATTTACCCCATCTTGATTGCCAAGAAAACGTGGGCCAAACTCCTTGAGGGGAGGCGGGTCTTGATCTTCATTGACAATGAGGCAGCCAAGTTTTCTTTTGTGCGGAACTACTCCGCTCAGATTAATGCTACCGCCATGTTGCCTGAGAATGCCCAACTTGATTTTCACTCGCAAGCGCTGTGCTGGTACAGCCGTGTACCTAGCAAAAACAACATTGCTGACGCCGCATCTAGACTGGCTTTTGAGTCCTACGTGGGCTTCCGCAAAGTGGCACCAATCTTCAGCCTGTTAGGTGGAAGGGGGAGGAGGCACAGGCAGCTGTGCTTGTGCCAGGTTGATTGAACGCAGCAGTGCGTCTGTCAGCGGTTCCCCATTCGACTCAGACACAGGTGGACGGAGCAAAATGAAGGGTGCGTCGCTTTGCGTGTGAGTGTTGTGAGTGCACTATTTCATCAGACATGTCCAAATATATTTTGGAGTATATATTGGATTGTGAGTTGACTGATTGGAAATCTGAAGGTCCATGATTGGAAATAAGGATATCACTTTAGTGACAAACCTTTATTCCCTCCCCGCATGGAAAGACTGCAGAAGTGCAGTCGCCTTCATGATTTCTGATTGTCAACTTTTCCCAAATCAATTTCCATGGTATTTGAGTGTGGATTTTGATATGGGATTTTGGGAGACACGGTTTTGCAAAACTATGTGCTTGAACATACTTGTATGCGAAGGCATGATGAGGATTGTGTCCACATGAGTTTTGCCCAAGCTGCAGGTGTACCGTGTTGTGCTCCCCCCCTCCACACCCACACCACGGCACAGGCAGCTGTGCTTGTGCCAGGTTGAATGAACGCAGCAGTGCGTCTGTCAGCGGTTCCCCATTCGACTCAGACACAGGTGGACGGAGCAAAATGAAGGGTGCGTCGCTTTGCGTGTGAGTGTTGTGAGTGCACTACTTCATCAGACATGTCCAAAATATGTTTTGGAGTATATATTGGATTGTGAGTTGAGTGATTGGAAATCTGAAAATCCATGATTGGAAATAAAGAACCCTGAAATTCACTGTGCCCATACGGTTTTTGCGAGGGCGCCATGGGGGGGGATAAATCTGTTCGTGATGGCTGCTCTTGCCATTCCGCGTTGTGCGCGCCCGTAAAGCAACCCCTTCCTGAAGCTCGATGTTGCCCCCGACCGTTAAAAAGAGTCTGAGCTTCAGCAGGCTGCATGTGAGAATACAGATTTTGTGATAACATTTGCCTGGATTGAACGTATTTCCGGATGGTCGAAAAATTTTTCTCTATATGTTTTCCTTTCCTTGAACGCAAAATGGTCTGACAAACCAAAGCTTTTACGGCACAAGGAATTTAGGCATCACAAGACGTCTCAAGTAATGAACATCTACTGGGCTGCACAAGGGTGAACACAGCTCCGCAACCTGGCTCATCTCACACGAGGTTGGAAGTCTGCTCTTCAACCACTCGAGCAATTTATATCTTGAAGATAAAGTTCAAGCAATGGCGAAACAACTGGCATCAAGGCATAGGCTAGTCCCTTAGATCTAACCTGAGGAAACGCACGCAAGCTTCAGCCTGGGCGTCGCATCACGCTTCTCCCAAGCGACACCAGCCTGATCACACGTGTCTCACTCTTTGCGAAGATATCACTCGATAAACTTTAAGTTCATGCAAAGATTTTGATTTAGTAATTAGTGGGCTCATTATTTTTCATCGTGAGGCTCTGGCTCACGGATTGTCAGGTTCTCAAACACATGCTCAATCATATGGAAGTTGCCTTGCCTTCTCATATGTCACATCAACGCTTCACAGCACCAACACGCAGCAAACCTTCCGGGGCATCTTGCGCGCATGTCATCAAAGGATATCTGCTGCACAGAATTTGCTTGTCGAAGTCCATCGCAATCACACGCAATGTGGAACCTTCGACCAGACACTGGCGTGATGTCAACTAATGCGTCGCGCCCGAACCTCACAGGAATAGGCTCTTCTGCAACAACTGTTTGTCCAACAGGCGCTGGTGCTGGAAGCACTGGTCCAACTTGACGAATTGGAACCACGCCATCAACGTTGCGAAAATTACCATCTCTAACACGTGGCACTGTCTTATCATCACTTTGTACTCGATCATCAGGCAGTTCATCTGGCTGCTCTGCCTGCTCTGACGGTTCACTGTCCCTCGACACAGAGGGAAATCCCAAGGATCTCTGCTACGCTTCGCGGGCTGCGATTCCTCAACCGATCTTCCGAGGACGCATCATGGTCTTCAGATGGGACATTGTGAGGTTCATTTTCACCTTCATCACCATCAACCTTTCAAGATCTGGCATTTCATCATCATGCTCACTTGTGGCAATACCCTGCGCTGAATCATCAGATCTAAGCAGGGTAGTAAACCGCTGCATTAGGGTGTAGTGGCCCTAGAGGTGTTTGGGTAGGCAAACTGCGCTGCTCTCTTCAGCTGCTGGGGTCGTCTGACCCTCGGTGCGCTGGTCTTCCGTAGTCAGAACTGTGAACATTCTATGTCATGTCGCAGCTTGTGGCTTTGTCACCCAAAATTCTGTCCCACCCTGTCCCGCCCTATTGTCTGGCGTGAGTCCTAGCCGGACTGGCCTCATGGCACATTTCGTACTCCCCCTGCCGGGGTAAGTCGGGGTTGATGCGTCTTGTCGGTGCTTCCCTTCTTTCCTTGTAAGCCCGTACCCGTGTGTGCCATTCCCTGGCACTTGCGCAAGCCTGCCTTAGAGTCGTATGCGTTTCGCCCCATGACAAAAGTGAGTAGTGTGTGTGCTCTGTGCGCCTGCACTCCAATCGTATATGATAGTTTTATAAATTGGATGAGTCTCCCTTGCACATATTTCAGTTTTGTGATATGAGATTTTTCTTGAATGTGCATATACATGGCACAAGGAATAGGAAATTGTTCTTCCGGGAAGTGGTCTGACTTGGTAGGTTTGTGCACATTTTTCCTATAAGGCCTATAAGTTTCTGGTCATTTGGCTGTATTTTGGCTCAACAGGAAGGGTGTAGATCTGGGCTGCATTAGCCGCTGTTCGCAGGCATTGGCATAACCTGAAGGCCAGGACTCACATGGAGGAATCCGGGCATCCCGTTGACATGTGTGCTTGTTCAGCAGCTTGAGTAGTCGTACACAACACTCACGTTCCAGGTTGGCTGGACGTGCTGTTCCGGGTCTGACAACCCCAGTACTTGCCAAGCGAAGCCAATGTGTTGATTTCAATTTGAGACAGGACTTTTCTGTATTTTGCGGAGGCCCATGATGTGGTGAGCCTGGTTTGTGTGACCCGCTTTCAGCATGTACATTTTGGTTTTGCCTGACTAAGTTTGACAGCGCACCTCGGTGTGGTGCCGGTCAGCCCTTGGACCTGAGGGTCGCGGACTAAGTCAGCAGGGGCATGCTCCCTTTTGTGCCTTAGGGTCAATGCCCATTGTGGGCTTGCCTTCGCCCCACTGTCGCGGAGCCCTTGCAAGCCATAAGTTTCCCTTCATATCACGGCAAACCTTTGATTTGTCTCAGGTGTACGTGTAGGGCACCTTGCTCTGGCATGGCGCTTGGACGGGAGCATTATGTGGGCCTGCTGCCCTGCGCCACATACAGGTGCGCGAGTCGGCCGCTTACCAACCATCACTAGTGGACTGGTAGGCGGGCTGCCTTGACTGACGCGCACTTTCCACGTGGGGGCAACTCGGTTCACACTAAGCCTAGCAGCCTGCTAGTTGAGGTGCCGTAAACCTATCGAGGAGTTGCCTGCTCCTTAGCTGTAGAGTCAGTAGGTGTTACATCCCAGCAGCGTGTGCAGCCTGTTCAAGGTGTCCTTGGCAAACATCTCTCCTAGGCAGGATGCCCAAAACGGGGGTGGGAAGGCTTGCTGCTCTGTAGCCGCTCGCTCAGCCGTGTACCTCGTTGAGGTGCCGGTCTGGTCCCTAGCAATGGAGAAAGTCCTTTCGGAGCCAAACTGTGGACCTCTGCGTAGCTCCTTCAGGTTGGAATCGCTGGTCAACGCCTTGAGGCACGGGAGTTTGATTGTTTTCCCTCGGCTGCTCCGTTTCTCGCAAGCTACTTGCGCGCGTCGGTAGCAGCATGCCTCGTGCTTTGTGGCGCATTACTGCACTACCGCAATGAGGTTTGTCAGCTGCCCTTTATTCGCACAATCAGCTGTGGGCAGGCCATAGGCCTTGAGCTCTCATGGTTAGTCTGCCTCATAGTGCTTCTGTGAGTTTCGCGACTTCGCTCGTGGCTTCATTGTCGGGGCTCAGCGGTCTGGGAGGGCCAGCAGGCCTGGACAAACGCTAGTACGACTGCCATGTGCAACAGTTGGGAGGGAAATTTGGCTTAGCTCTCAGAGAGTCTCTCTTCGAATCAGCTTTGTCAACCCCAGCTAGTTTGCACTGGCGTATGAACATAGTTCGGCACCAGACAACAGGTATGCAAACTTTGCAGACTTCCAACCGGGTACATGTGCTTCCTAAATCTCTGCTCGTGTCAGGAAGCAGCCGCCCGACTTCAGGCTGAATCATCCTCTTAGCAATGCAACAGGTGGCAACAATTTTTGTGGCCTGCGCCACTTGGCATGATATTCAGGCTTCCACAGATGCATCACTCCCAGAAAGCAGTGAAGCAGAAGACATCGTCGAAGCCATGGGAGAGCAAGCCTTGCAGCGTTCCCTTTCCTATTGAGTTCACAGTGTTGTGCCTCTGCGGCTTTCAAGCACAAGACATCGGAGTTGCTTGACTGCAGAGATGTTTGCTGGAGATTTCGAGTTCGGTCGCAAAAGCTCTTCTAGGAGGGCTCGGAGTGAGCGTCCGCAGAGGTTCAGATCTTTCTCAAGGGGCAGGGCCGGGAAATGTAAGAGCAACCAGAATCCCCTGAACCATCTTTTTCAAA